TCTCATGTGTTTCTTCTCTAGGCTTTTAACATGACCCGTCTGGTCTCATATCGTTGATATGCTTATACTGCTCCAAGAAAGACTTGGCTAAGTCTTTCCACGTCTTGATATGAGTCCAGCTAAGTTGGTTGTACCACCGAATAGCTGAACCGGACAAGCTCTCCTGAAAGCAATGGATCAGGTTGGTCATTCCCGCCATATCCTGTCATCTTTCGACAGACATAGTGATATGGGCTGAAGGGCAACTGTTCCCGTCGAACTTCTCAAACTCAGGAATTTTAAACTTTGGTGGAAGCACCAAGTCTGGAACTAGGCTCAGCTCCATTGCGTCCACTCCATAATAATCATGGTCTCCCTGGACCATCTTTATTTGATCTTCTAATATTTTTATCTTTTCTTCCATCTTTTGGCTTTATCTTCCTCATCAAAGTCTGGGACATGATAATCATCCGATGATCATCAGGGATGATTGTAGAAGTTTGTATCTTCACAGCAGGTGCAACTTTGCTTTGGTAACGAATGAGTCCCCGGTAGTGATGCTTTCCCTTTAGTAGCAGATGCGTCCCCGGGTAATATTCCGGGTGAGATAACCACTTGCGGGGTTGGTGGTATGGCCACTCCCTCGAAGAATGCCCCCTGATGCACTAGCTTGCTGTAGACCCGACAACTTGGCTACGATTTGGTCGACCAAGGACTCCTGATTTTCTTGATGGACTCAAGAGTACTTTCACTGTTCTGAGCCATCTTATCTTCTAGTCCTTTTGAAGTCTTTCCATGTGCTCTTCGATCTTCTCCATTCTGGCTTCCATTTGTCTCTTTTTGGCTCGAGTATTGTGCGGGTGATGTGTATATGATGCTTGTGGTGGTAACTCGGTGTCGAGACATGTTCTGTAGTTAAAGATAAAGGTACATTCGGACTAAATTCTAGACCCCGAACAACTTCCAGTAGGTTGAAAGTCTTCTGCCTTCATCTGTCACTGGTTGAATGCCTTGTCGAACCAACCAGCTTCCCTTGCTAGACCATGAAGATGACGGCTGCTTTTTGCGCTTGATCCAGGAAATCTCGGATGGTTGCGTCTCGGGCCCTCACCCTTCGCTGTGCTTGTTCCCAACGGAAACGCCATTGTAATCCTCCGTCGAAGGGCACCATCTGAAGCTCGTTTTCTTGCCTCTTGAACCCATCTACAATAGCTTCTAACTCAGCTATTGTCTTGCCATCTTTCTCATGTTGTCTTTCTAAGTCAGCTACCTGAACTCTCAAGCGCTGGTTCTGATATTGACTATCTGCCAAGCGTCTTTGGGCAGTCTTCATCTGTTCCTTCCAAGCTTTCTCATCAGGCCCCTCGAACTTCCTTTTCAGGCTATGAGCTTCGTCTTTCCAGTATTCGGAAGCCACTTTCAACTTGGAGTTATCCTTGACCTTATCTTGATACCCCTTTCTCAAGTCTTCAAGCTCAAAGCGGGCCCTTTTCTGTTCTCTTTCCAGTTTATCTGCCCCATCTTTCTGAGGTCAGCATCAGCTTCCACTGATAACGTTCAGCTTCAGTTCCTTATTCCTGCTTCAGCTCGTTATTCACAGCTTCAAACTCGGTCTTGGCTATCTCAAGCTCAGAAGGGACATGCCTGAGATGTTCTTCCATGGTCCGGGTGTCATCACAGTCTGGCACAGGGATATTGTCATTCTTTCTCAATCTTCGCCACTCCACATAATCCGGAGTGAGCATGCTTCTGGCAGCTACAACATCCATCCGGAATACTTTCATCCACGAATCGGCTGCTTCTCTGATCATCTTCTTATAGCTGTCACCGTGATACTCAAAACTCTGACCTAGCTAACCCATGTTGCTGGGACAAACTGACGTGCTCCATACTGTCTAAGTGCTAATAGCGGAGCATACCCGACTGCTCCCCAAAGTCCAAGTAAGGTCACAGTGTCAGAGTCACCACATCGAAAAAGAACATCACTAAGGAATAACCAAGGGGCTCTCCAGACAATATCTCGGTCTTGAAGATGCGTAAAGACCTTCATCCATTTTTCTTTCGAGGCGCCTTCATGCCATTTTAAGATAATAAATTCACCTAGAGGTGAATAGGTGGTGCTGAAACGGCGGTAGGCAACCCCGTCAGTCTTCCAGAATCGAAAGGTCTCGGCCAAGATGGCTGGTGCTGGGTTAACTCGTTTAGAAAGTTGCTCAAATAGTTCCACCACAGCAGCGTCAATGCACCCCAAAGCCTTCAGAAATATGATCAAATCGTACAGACCCAGTGCAAAAAGGTCTATAGTCTTCCACTCATCAGGGTGGTTTTTCATTAGTTGCTTTATATGGATCCACTCGATTCCTTCCCCGCTACCTTTGTGCCGGAGTCGATCAGTCACCCACTTTTCATCAACCCCTGCAATCTTGGCCAGTCCGTTCTTGAAGGGCTGACTCTTGATATGTTTAATATATGCCCTCTCTAGTTTGATGCTTTCGCAGTGCAGTAGAGTAGTATACTCTTTGATAGTAGGCACCATGTCTTCCTGGTTAAAGGTGAAACAACTATATCCCGGGTTCCAGAATTGAATTAATGCTCGGAGTAAGGGCTCTTCAGTCTTGACATGGAGCAAGAGGGCGATATCACCATATCGTTGGCTGAACTTCTGCTTTCTGTCATTCTTCCAACTGTCCCAAATATTTCGCAGCTCCTGGACATTATTCTGTTTCAGGCTGACAGCGGCATAACTAACCAGTTTGACACATAGTTCCCTGAAGACTGTCTCCCTTCTCTTTCTGAGTCTCCTCGGACCATAGTCGTGCCTCAGCGTTTTCAATCTCTTGTATTACAACACCTTTGTCCATTAATTCGAATTATTTTGTGTATAACAAACGCTTTTTAGGGATCAATAGCCTCTTGTAATGATGCAAAGGCAAAAACGTTAGTAAAATAAAAATACAAATAAAAAAATGACGGAAGGAAAAAGCGCAACAAAAAACATGGTTAGGGTAAAAATATCCTAAGTTTTTGAACGTGGTTTCGGGGTAGGCTCTAATTCTTCATGGTCTCCCGGTTTAGGTTTTAAAAAAACGGTACCCGAGTTCTCCTTGTCGCCCCCTTGGGCTTGCCAGACCCTTAGTCCTAAACCCATCACAGGCTTGTGGGACTAAGTTAAACTCGAGGGGACACATTCCCTTATGCCCGCACGGTGAATAAATTCACACGAAGACATAAGGTATATGAATCCCGAAGGCTACTTGCTAGGCCCGCACGGTGAATAAATTCACACGAAGGCGTCGCTTTCACCCCCACTTAAAATAGGAATTGGAGCTCGGGTATAGAGCCTTAGATGAAAAAAAACTTTGAAGTCTGAAATCATGAGAAAACGATTAGTCCAACTATTTACTCGAAAATATAATCAAAAGTAAGTAAAAAGGATCGAATATTACCTTAAAATTAAACTTCCATTTTCGTTAAAAAGACAACTGGAAATTACCTTAGCCTGACTCACTTACCGTCCCCAGCAGAGTCGCCAAGCTGTCGCAACCGTCTTTCGGTTGGGCCCCGGAATTGGGCTTCGACGTGAATAATTGGGTTAGAGTCGCCACAGACCATTTATTTAAAAATAAATGGGTTGATCGGATACCCTATTCTTACTGATCTGCGTCTTCTAAAGATGTCGGGTTCGGGAGTCGGTTACGGTTAAGGAAGGATTAGCACCCTTAACCGTCCTTTCGGTACTACGCAATTTCCAGTTGTCTTTGATTAAGAAAATTATAATTTTAAATTTAAAGGTAAAAATATGATCCAAGTTGCTTACCTCTGATAGTTTTAATAGTGTACTCTTACAAAAAGTCTCGAAACGTATTAGAGAAGAAAACAAGAACGATTAATAAAAGGACGAAACGAAAATAAACAATAAATATAAAAATAGAGAAAAGAAACTAAAGTAAAGACAAAAATGAACAAAATAAAAAATAGAATAATAATAAAACATATATACACATAAATAATATTAGAAAAACGAAGCAAGTAAATAAAACATATGCCTATAATGAGGGGAATAACAATACTAATAGTTACAGTATATATATATATATATGAAGATATAAATTTTATACGTATAGCCTATAATTATAAACAAAACAAAGAAGGTAACAAATAAGAATAAAAAAGTATAAAGTAATAATAAAATAAAAATATAATTATAATAAAAAATAGGAATAAATGCCTATAAATGAGGGGAAATAACAATACTAATAGTTACAGTAATATATATATATATATGAAGATATAAATTTTTATACGTATATGCCTAATAATTTATAAACAAAACAAAGAAGGTAACGAAATAAGAATAAAAAAGTATAAAGTAATAATAAAAATAAATAAATATAATTATAATAAAAATAAATAGGAATAAATAATAAAAATAGCAAAATAATGGTAACATGACTGAATTGAAAGGAAACCATGATTGAAGGTCGAATTCAAGAGAAAATTGACTTTAAAATCGGATTTGGGATTTAAATTAAGACTTTAAGAACTACCGGGGACCAAGAATGTAGTTTACCCCATTTAAAACGAAAACATGCGGGTCCCTTGCAGGTATGGGTCGAGTCGTGGATCAGGCGCGGGTCCTGATGGTTGTAAATATGAAAGTCAAAAAAAAAAATATTATTCTTCATTTCTCTCTTCCCCAGACGAAAGCCCCTCCTCTATCTCTCGTTTTCTTTGGTTTGTTCATCCAAAATGATGAACGCCGCCACTTGTTTCCAGAAAACGGTGGCTTTCACACCTCGCCGCCGGTCATGGGTGGTGGTCCACAACAAAAAATCCGTTTTTAAAGAGCTCTTCTTCTTCTTTACTCAAAAGTCCAAATGTGTTTTTAAAACCCGAGATTTAGAGAATAGTAGATCTAAAAAAATATTTTCGAAAATAAGGGCCTCATCTCATTCATCGGCCGAAACTTTGATGTTTTGAGCGAAAAAGGTACAAGTGCTTCCTCTCCTCTGTATTTTCTAGTACTCTAGTAAGATTTCTGTGGTAATCTTTTATGTATTGTGGATTTTTGCGTATTTTGTGCCTAAAAGCTCTCTGTGGTCTCCTCTCCCTTTACAAATAGATTACATGTCTTATTTATAGCCTAGAATCTAAGTGTTTGACCCCTATTAGAACTCTAACTCCAATGTTTGTTGGCTTGTTATCTTCATGAAATCCTTGCGCCGGAGGAATCGGAGTTGTGGAGGATGTGAGACGGGTGGCCGTGAAACTCGGAAAGGGAGGCGAGGGAGCTTGTGGCGCAGAACACTACCAAGGTTAGGGTTCCTCACGACTGTTGAACTGGACTTGGTTCACTTGTTGGGTTGCATGTTCAAGCCTGTAAATGTAAAAAAAATGAAATTAATAATATTATATATATATAATATAAACATTATAAGGACGCAAATCATGTGTTTACAACCGTATCAACAAAATATCGCGATATATGGTTTACATCCAAACGAGGTATAACATCTTCCATTTTATATCTATAAAAAAATTAATTAAATAAAGTATTAAAAAATTTAAATACTTAAATAAATTAAAAAAAATATTAAATATAATAAAATATACATTAAACAGTTATATGAGCATATAAAAGTATTTAAAAGGATTTGATGCGATGAAAATGATTGAGAATAGAAGTATTTATAGGGAGAGGTGAGGGTGTGAACGACCTGAATAAGTGGGTAATTAAACCTAAGAAGCGTTGCAGGGAGCGCGCCTTTCTGACGCGTGTCAAATTTAAAGGTAAGGTGCACCGCAAGGGCCGCACTTTACACACGTGTATCTCAACTCAACATAAAACACACTTCAGGGAGCACGCCTTATCAACGTGGCTCCAGATCAACGTAAAACGCCTTATCAACGTGGCTCCAGATCAACGTAAAACGCATTGCAAGGAGCGCATCATGCAAAGGATGTTAAATCGTGAAAAATAATCTGAAGGATACCTAACAGATAAATATATAGTATATAAGTGATTTTTGGGAAAAAAAAGCCGTTTTCACTTTTCTCTTCTCCGTCGTTCTCACTTCTTTCTTATGTTGTACATTTTCCATTCTTTTTCATCTCTAATTTTCTTCTTTCTGCTGTTCTGTTACTGTCCTAAGAACCAAGAATAAACTATAATGAGCATTGTCGGACAGTTCACACAAACCTTGTGTAGATACTCATTTTTTTGAGATTTTAGTAGTATTTTATTTTTTATTACGTATTAATTATTAAATATTATTAATATTTAATATTATTAATAATTCAATACACTACGTATCTTTCCGTCTGTCACTATTATCTTAAGATCCAAGAATAAACCATGGTGAGCATTGTCGGGTAGTTCACATAAACCTTGTGTAGATACTCATTTTTTCCAGGATTTTAGTCGTATTTTATTTTTTTATTAATTAGTTTTTATTAATTATTAATATTCAATTATTTAGGCCCAAAAGCAAGCCCAACGTGCCCAAAATTACAAACCCTAACCTAACTTAAACTAACCTTTGCTAACCGTAACCCTAATTCTTCATTATCTTCCCCGGCTGCCGCCGCCACTGTCAACTAGAAAAGCCCACCGTGGAGCCACTCCCGCTGTTATCGATTCCGAAGTTGCAACTGTTGATAACCGACCAGTTTAACCGCCTCAACATCATCATGTCGCCATAACAGTAAAAAGAAAATCAATCAACCAAAAAAATCAACAAAATCAAAGCAAACCCCAAAAAACTGGACATTTAATATAAGTGTTCATTACCTCCACCTACCCTCCTGTCATGGTCATACTCCTCTGCCATCTCCGACCTCATCTGCAGTAAAGAGCCCTCAAACCGCTTACAACAACGCATGAGTGAAAAAAAGATACGACTATCTATAATATGAGAAAACACAATAAAAGGGTATAGTTCAAAAACACCAGATCGAGAAGATATTCGAATAAAAAAACAAAAAAAAACATATCAGAATGAAAAAAATAAACAAAGACATAAAAAGGGTCATAAAGAAAAGGAAAATCTTACCTTTTTCACGAAAACTATTCTTGTTTCTCCACCGGAGTTGTAAGAGCCCTTCAGATCTTTCTAAGGTAATCATTTTTGTTGAGATTTAAGAGAAGCTTCAGAAATAAAAAGTTTTAGAAACTATTTTAGGATTGGTGAGGTTTGAGAGATCGTTGGGTGGTTTCTCCTCCCTAAGAGGTAAGATAGACCCTTTTTTTCAAAAGCGGCGCTGAAGTGAATATAGGTTCAAGAACCCTATTTTCTAGCTTTTAAATCCCTTACGTGCAGTGTCATTTAGGATAAGAATTCCATGGCCTGTGATTAGGGATTATTATTTACTTGAGAAAGTTCCATCTTTTGTAACATTTAAAATTTGATCATCTAATAAAGTTTAATTTCTCTTGTTTCGGGCCTTTCATATTTTAATGATTTTATTTTAGTCCATTTTATATCTATTTGCCTTTGTTTATGGTTTTTTTTTTTACATTTGACACTTAGCTTTAATAATTTTCATTTAGTATTGAATATTTATGATTCTAGTGCCGGTAATGTTTAATATTTATGTTTGTTGTCATGATTTTTATTAGTTTTTATGTTTAGCCTTTAAAGTTGTCACTTTTTTTATTTTAGCCATTGTAATTTTTTTCATTTTTACTCGGTCATTTTAGTCCTTATACTCTAGTATGTATATATATTCTATATATCATTAGTATTAATTAAGTATTTTTACTATATATTAAGTTTATATAATATATTATTATTATTATTATTATTATTATTATTATTATTATTATTACATTTATTTTATGTTTTCTTGTGTGTTAATATGTGTGTTTACTTATTAAGAATATATCTTCATTCCTTTTTACTTGTCGTAGATATATATATATATATATATATCATTATTTTTACTTATTTAATACTTCTATGTCAATATTTTTTATATTTTTACTCGAATATTTTTAAGAACATCTATCGTAGAATGGGTGTGAAAAATACCACACGATAGGAGTAGTGTGATTCGACAACATTCGACGGAAGACAAACTTGAAATAAATTGAGTCAATTTTTGTGCAATTTTGTTATTTGAATCAAATTAATCAATGTTCAATAAAATGAGTCGTATTTTAATTTTTGACTCGAATTTGCAAATTCCACTGCCACAACAACGTATAAGCGATTAGGTATCAATTTTAAGCGTTGTAGGGGTGCTTACCATTCTTCATGCATAATCAACTATTGAACCCTAAAAAAATCTTTGGAAAAATAGACCAATTATTGTCTAAAAATGATTTTTCTTAAAATTGTTTTAAAAGGTTTTTATATATTTGACCTACATAACCCAAAGGTTGATGGAAACTCCAAATCAAACTAATTCAAATTTTATCAAAAATCCTAATGTTTAAAAATAAAGTCATAATTATTTTTAAATTTATTTTTTTAAAACATGGCTATGACAATTTGGCGACTCCGTTGGGGACTAGTTAGAGAATCATGCCATTGGTTACTTATACATTGTCTTATGATGGAAATTATGGATTTGAGTCTGAAATTAGCTTATGATTATTTTCATTGAAAATTGGTTAATTTATTATTTATTCTTTTTGTAAATAGTTGTAATAATGTTTAAGTTCATGCTTGTAGAGTCATTGAATTTTTATCGAAAGTGTTTCCATCTTTGTTTTTCTTTTGTCTAAGGTTTATGAGTTCCTCCTCACACACTTCATGTGCACTGGCATGACATAAGTTATATACCCGAACACTATCCAAATGAGTGAACGTTTAGGCTTTCGTGGTGAATTTATTCATCGTATGAGCTATAACAATTAACCTCTGGGATACACGCCTTATACCTTCGTTGGAATTTACTTCCTCGTATGGGTATAAGGAAGTGGATTTTCTCGAATTGAAATTGTTCCATTTGAAGACTGTAATGGGTGAGGATCGAGGGTTTGGCAGCCCAATGGGGCACCAACATAAAAGAAAATAAAAGTACCCTTTCCTCTAGAGCCGAAACCATGTATGCAGTGAACCATAGATTGATCACCATAGGTAGAGCCATATTAACCCTCTTTCTGTCAATAGGTACTGAAATAAGTATACACAAAGGAGGAACGACTCTAAACATTTACTTCTTGATTTAAATTCATAGAATAATTTTTTTTCTAATTGAAAGCATGTGAAGAAGATACCATACGGTTAGGATTAAATTTTTTGAAATTAAAGCATGTCGAGTAACAGGCATGTCCAAGTAGGATTATTGTTTAATGAAACATGTTTGTGTATATACCATGATGAGGTAGGTTTTATATTTATCTTTAAATAACAATTTCATCTTCATCAATTATCTCACTTGTACTACCTCATTTATTCTTATTTTTTGTCATTTAACCTTTTTGCATTACATCATCATGAAATAATGTAAACATGTTGATCCACAATCGGCTATCTAAGAGAAAATTTTGATAAGGGGAGAAAAAAGTTTTCAATCAAGTAGTCACATACACAAATATGCAATGATGGCTAATGAAAGCTCAATGAATAAAGATGAAACTCGCTCAAAGATCATACATTAAACTCACTGATATAATGACATCCGAAATTCGAGAGATGATCTCTTGATGATAACAATGGTGCAACCATAAAGTTTTGCCTACAAATATTCCACCTTTAATCATCAAGGTGTGACACATAACTCCAACATCATAGGGGCATCAACCAAGGTATTTCATAGAGCACTTGATGGGCATAGTTTTTGGGGACGAAGCTCCAAGATGAAATATCGACCCACTTTAGACCCAACATCCAAGCAAAAGCATATTTGTAAAATGAATTATATTGTAAAAAAAGACTTTTATCTGTGATGGAACTTATTCTATGATATTCATCGTAGGGATTAACACCTTTTGCATCTGCATATTTGTATTTCATATTTGCATTGCATAAATTTAAGCATTTTCATATGCATCATTCACGAAAAATTGAAATTAATTCGTGGAAGATTCCATGGCAGTAGTCCTAATCACGTGACACGATACTAAGAATGGATGCAAAATTTGAGCAACTAAGAAAGAATTACAAGAGAATTTATTGAGAATGCAAACAGACTGAAAGCTAAGCTGGAGAGATCACAAAAGACTACTACGGATCACATCTTGCAAATTCAAGCTAGCATGGTCGACCAAATCATGGAAGAATTGGCTGGGTTCAACAAGACAAAAGGAAATGAGAAGATTTTCATGATTTTAGAAACCATTAATTGTGTGACAACTCATGCTAGTCCTCAACTAATCACCTCACCCGAGAGGTTTCGGAGCAACTAAGCAAGTTTCTTTGTCCCTAAGACTCTAGCAACCATGATAAACCCTCATTGTAACTTTATTATTCATAGCATGTTTGATTTTGATCAAATGAAGAAATGTGAGAATGAGATCCCTGAGAATTTGAAGAATTGGTGCAAAGATTACTTCAAAGGAATGAGGGGATAGAGCTCGCAAGACGAGATGGATGCAAGGGAGTTAGTTTTTGTTCCTAACCTGGTTCTCCCAACCAAATTCAAAATGTCTGAATTTGAAAAGTATGATGGAACCAGTTGCCCTACTGTCATCTCACGATGTTTATTTGTAGGATGACTGGATATGTAACACCTAAAATCCGTATAATTATACCTATACAGATTATAGATATCACCTGAATTTCTCTTAAAAATAATTTCCATTCAAAACTGATTTAAAATTTATTTTCTTAAAATGGTAACTGATAATACAAAAATATCGTATCACATTCAACTATTACATAATATTTAAAACATATATTAATATGGATTTATGCTATCCATATTGAAATAGAGTAAAACAGTTTAGTTTAGTCATTACAACCCAGTTTCAAAATAGTTCAACAGAGCAACTAGGACATTAATAAGTACATGCCACTAACTAAGTCAAAATCACATCATAAGATGTCTTACTTATATTGAAATATACTCCTCGATGCTTGATGTCGCTCTGAACTCTTTACTCTTCTACTGGCTTTCTACATACACGTGAAATCATCACGCGCTAAGTATATACTTAGTGAGGCAATTAAAACAGTAAATAGTGCAATACATTTCATGCATGAAATTCAATGTCAAGATCAAAATGCCATAAGCTCATGTTACCTGCACGTTCAATATTTTACCATGATCAAAATAATATAACATAAATATTATCATTTTTACCAATAGTTATAGCCCACAAGTAAACATATGAAGACCTTGGGTATTCGAGTAATATCTGCACCATAGTGCTACACATAAGGTCGTGCCCACCATAAACACTTAGTGTCCTTACACACTATAGTGCTAATATAAACCTGCAGTTGCTATACTCTATGGCATGCTAACTATACCCTGTCTTTCAACAACTTACTAGGGCATATAATCTAATTCATCCATGGTATCATATACCCATATATTTAACATTAGGGCAGTTCATACCCAAAATAACATCCATGGTAAAATATCACATTTATCCCAAATCAATGCATTATAATTGCAAACTGTGACCTATCGATGTCATGTCGAAGTTATAAAAATGACATAATATCATGCTGATATAAATAAGGTAGACTTGTCGCAAGTATTCATGATGATGTATAAAACATCTATGTACAATGTCATGCATGTATTGCACTCACCTCGACACTTTATATATCCAAAATATGTGCCTCACTACGATCTACAATAACCCTTTTATACTTGACTTGCTTCGATCACAAATCAATCATGATATGTACAAAATCAAAAATTCATAACAATACTTATGTTAGTATTGTACTAACATAACACATCCCTAAAACAAAATCCATAATATACTTGAAACTCATTTTCTACCAAAATACTTAACACTTAATAATTCATTTTTAACATTGGTACCAACTTTTCTAATTTACAGAAAATGGTCCTTCCCCATTTTATCACTTAGATTCTTAATACCAAAATTCCAACATTGAAATTATTACCATTCAAATGCTTTTACAAAGGCATAATTTCATTTAAGTACCTCAACTATACGAATATTGCACTTAAATCACCAATCTTTTCAAACTTCCAAAATAATCATATTTCACATCTAAACACTTATTTTAATTCCAAAACAGTAATTTATAGCATAGTACATCAACTATCAAATAATTATACAACCATTCACAACTTTTCCAAAATTATTGAATTGGTCCCCCAAA